AGCTCCTGCTTCCTCCCCCACCCTGGGAGGCTTCGGGCCCTTCGGGGTGGGCGCACGGAGCACTCGGCTGGCGGACGGCGGGGAGCCAGTCTGGGCCCACGGCCGGCTGGGAAGCCATACGCCTTTCTTTCTGGATTCGGCTTCATTTACCCCAAATGTCTTACACACGCTAGGTGCAGTGCGTCGTGTGATGACTGCATATTATAGGTGTGTAGGTATCTTTTATCTTCCAAGAGGTAAAATGAAAGATTAGGAGCTCGGGAATATTTCAGGTGACCCAGAGGACATATCCGATTTGGGCCCCCGGGAGGGACTTTGAAGTTTTGCCCCCAGGCTTCACCCCTCCCCGCTCCTTCCGCCCTGAGAAGGAGGCCGCAGGTGAGCGGGCCCTGCCGCCTGTCCCCACGGGCCCTGGGGTCCTCTGGGCCTGAGCCAGCTCTTTGATCCCCTAGGTTCCCACTGCAGCAGGAGAGCGGGCAGACGGTGGAGTGCACGGTGGCCCAGTACTTCAAGGACAGGCACAAGCTGGCCCTGCGCTATCCCCACCTGCCATGTCTGCAGGTCGGACAGGAGCAGAAGCACACCTACCTGCCCCTGGAGGCAAGTCCTGCCTCCTGCATGCCCCCCGGGTGGGTCGCAGGACTTCCACGGGCAGGGCCCCCTCGGCACGCCAGGTCCAAACTCACCCCTGCCACCGCGGCAGCTCAGCAGGCTGACGGATATCGTCACACCTCAGTTTCCCCGGCGATAAGTCGGGTTTGGGCAGCTTCTCCTAGGATCACGTGGAGACCGTGAGCGTGTGTCATCCCTGGCACACGGGAGAAAGTACACGGTTTCTTTGATTTCTTGTCTAAAATTCACTTCTGGTTTGAAAAAGGCTTGCCGAGGGAAAGATCAAATGCTGAACTGACACAGGAGTTTTAACTCTTTTCCGTTAGTTTTAAACTCTGAGCACTTGTCCCGTTAGCCCGGTACCTGGGGCCTGGGTCTGGTTTTCCCGTGCCGTGGCCCTGAAGGTGGGCTTTGTTCGCATCGGCAGGCTCTGCATTCCCAGCTCCCAAAGACACAGAGCCCCGCGAGACCCAGCTGTGGGAGGTGGCGCCGCCCCGTGTGGGTGGCGGTTTCTAGGCCCCCCATGTGGGTGGGGGGCTCCAGGCTGTGCTTTCTTGTGCCAGGGCGAGTCCCCTTTGGGTTCGTGTCCCACTGGGTATACTCGGGGCCTTTCCGTCGTCAGGCGCAGGACCCCTGAGCAGCTCGTGCAGGCGTGCCCTTCCTGGCGGGTGTCAGGGACCGTCGGTGTTCGTGTGGCGCGTGAGGAGTGACTGTGTCGCAGGCAGAGCCGGCGCCCGCTCCCCCGGCACTGGCGCTGACGCCTGTGCGTCCTCCTCGCAGGTCTGTAACATCGTGGCGGGACAGAGATGTATAAAAAAGCTGACCGACAATCAGACCTCAACCATGATCCGAGCGACGGCCAGGTCGGCGCCCGATCGGCAGGAAGAGATTAGCAAGCTGGTGAGCGGCACGTCCTCGGGGCCAGTGCTCGGGAGGGCACGCCCTTGGGGATCCTACGCAGGGTGCCCCGGGCAGGGGCCCCCCTCCCCGATGCTTTGGACAGACGCGTCTTCTGGGAGGAAGCCGACTGCCCCTGACTCTGTGTCTTTCTTTCTCTCTCTTTCAAGATGAGAAGTGCAAGTTTCAACACGGATCCGTACGTCCGGGAATTTGGAATCATGGTCAAAGACGAGATGACAGACGTGACGGGGCGGGTCCTGCAGCCTCCCTCCATCCTCTACGGGGGCCGGGTACGGTCAGGGCTGGGCCGGGCCAGCGCTTGGTGGGCATTTGGGGTGTGCGTCCGCAGGTCCATGGCGGAGCAGACGCAGGCGACACCCCTTCCAGGTTGGAGCCACCCCCAGAGGGGTGGACTGACCGTGATTCAGTCTGGGTCTCGTGAGAGTCTTGGGGCTCCATAGGGGACTGCGTTTCTTTGGCCCTTTTTGAAATTTTTCAGAATTATCTTCTATCTTTCAAAAGGTAGTTTTTAGTAGGCCATCAAAATTTGGAAAGCATCATCGTTTGTTGTCGGCCGGTGATGAATTATTTCCCAGGAGCTTACGCTGCTTTTCTGTGGCTTAGCTTTGTGTTTGAGGTGCTTGGTGACAGACACAGCCGTTCGTTAGTCACCTGAGGGGTCTGTTTTTGCCCTTTGACCCACTAGCTTTTATCAGTACTTAACTCGGAGGTGTCCTGACCACTGCGCCCTGCAGAGCTCATGGAAAAGGCCTCCCCTGGCCTGCTGGTGGCTGCACAGCCCGGCATCTGGGGTGGGGAAGGGGCAGGGCTGGGCCCCCAGCTCCCAAGGTCGAGGTCAAGGTCGCTGGGTCCGTCTGCAAACGTGGGGGAAGCAGTGCTCTACTTACTCTTGTCCTTAGGGCCTGTAGCAAGGTTTAGTGTGGTTCCGTTTGTAGGATTTTTTCCTCCTTATTTCAAAACACAAGTTTTTGTTTTGTTTGTTTTTCTACTGTTTCAAAGTTCAAACAGTACAGAAGAATTATAGGAAGAGGTCTCTTTTTTCCTAGCTCTCGGGTGCTCCCCAGGAAGTAATCAGTGTTATATTTTTCCTTTGTAAAATTGCCCAGGGATGACTCACATGTTTTTTTCACCTCTTCTTATGCAAATAGCATGTTAAATACACTTTCGTGCCTTGCCTTTTTTTTTTTTACGTAATATTTTCCTAGGAGCTCATGGAGATCTTGGAGATGGTGTCATGTGTTTTTTAACTGTCGGGTACTGTTCCTTTTGTATGGGTGCCCCGTCCCGCCCTGGTCGGTGGGCGCGGGGGTCACTCATCCACACATCCATCCTCCATTCACCTCTCGTCCGTCTGTCCATCCATCCACCCATCCATCCCGCTGTCCGTCACGCATCTATCTTCCGTCCACCCACCTGTTCCTCCTGAATCCATTTGTCCATCCGTCCTCCATCCTGCAAACACCTAGGGACCACCTGCTCAGGGGACCAGCAGCAGTAGGCACAGTAACAGAATCCAAGGTCAGAGAACTCTGTTTCCCACGTTCTCACTCTAGACATCTTGCCATTTGCAGAATAAAGCGATCGCCACCCCCGTCCAGGGCGTCTGGGACATGAGGAACAAGCAGTTTCACACGGGCATTGAGATCAAGGTGTGGGCCATTGCCTGCTTCGCCCCCCAGCGCCAGTGCACGGAGGTCCACCTCAAGTAAGCCTGCCTGCGGGACACGAGTCCCGGATGGGCAGGGGTGGGGCCTGCTGGGAAGGCCCGCCGTTCGTGGGGCTGGGGACTGGGGACTGGGGCGCGGGGCCTCGGCGTGGATGGCAGGGGCTGGCAGCCTCTCCCTGTCAAGGAGCAGCAGCACCCCAGGGGACGCGGGCACCTCCATGCCACCTCGACTTCCCGCCCCCTTGCTGGAGGGAGTGTGGAGAAAGAAGCCGCATTGATCAGATGAGACACAAAATAGCGAAGGAACAGGGAGCTTAAAAATTAGAGGCAGAAGAGAAAATTGGATTCAGTGACCGAAACTTAGTTTTTGAAGCTGTAGCTTCACTTTTCTGTAAGTCACTGAAGAGAAAGCGAAGCCCGGTTGAGGAAGAGCTTCACGGAGAAACGGGAGAGTGAGAGTTTCTCCCGCCCCAGTCGGGAGTGATTAAACGTCGCCGCCAGCAGCCGGGCCGAGGGGCCGAGGCTTTGGTTCGCTCTGTTCTGGGGTTGCGCCCCTCCCCGCCCTTGCCCAGGCAGCCCAGGTGCGGGGCCGACCGTGCCGGAAGCCCTCGCCACGCAGCGGGCCCAGCCGGGGCAGCGGCCTCTGTGCCGGACAGACCCCCGGCGAAAGGAAGGCTTCTGCTTCTCACCTCTCTCAAGTGGAGGCAGGAGGGGAAACGGCCCGTAAATTCTGATTCTGAGAGGCCGCAGCTCTCAGAAAGTTCTCAGGGTCCAGTGTCTACGGCGAGAGGCGTCTGTGGGAGCCTGCCCTGGCCCGTGCCCCACAGAGCCCACCGCGGCTTGGAGTCTGGACCCTGGGTTCCGCCCCCAACCCCACCCCGCGCCGTGTTCTGTCCTGGGCCCGTTCATTCCCTCTGTGTCTGGAGCTAGGTGGTCCCCAGGTGGATTCTGTGTAGATGTAATGCAGGTGTGGGCACGTACATCTCTAACTGCACTGCTGTGTGGGAGACGGAGCGCTAACTGGCCAGGTGGGACCGGCGTGTCCTTCCCCTTACTGTAGAAGGCGACGTTATTTTTACTCCTAAGCTTAAAATAGAGGCCGTTGATCTGTCCCCCGCCCGCCCCTGACTGCACAGGGCCTGTTGGCGGCAGCTGCGGGTGCTACTCTAGCTTGGGTGGTTTTGTTTTCTGCCACGATTATGTCATCCGAGTCTCCAAGTTGTACACACGAGAATAACTGGGGAGAAGAGTCCACGGGGA